CCAAACAGCTGATAAAAACATCACAATAATCCACACCACTCCAGTCCATCAGTTAACATCTTGTGAAGAGAAAAGCTGCATGTTTGTAATAAAAACATTAAAAATAAATATTACAGATACACAGGTTTTCACTTCACAAGATGTTAACTGATGGACTGGAGTGGTGTGGATTATTGTGATGTTTTTATCAGCTGTTTGGACTCTCATTCTGACGGCACCCATTCACTGTAGCGCATCCATTGCTGAGCAAGTGACGTAATGCTACATTTCTCCAAATCTGTTCTGATAAACAAACAAACTCATCTACATCGTGGATGGCCTGAGGGTGAGGACATTTTGAGCAAATTCACGTTTTTATGTGAACTGTTTCTTTAAGTATTCAGTGATCTTGAATGGTGCTCTCACAATCTTCATCTCTTTTCAGGGCTTTGGAGTGGCAGCGAAGACCACACAGGAGTGTCGGAAGGTGGACCCCATGTCCATTGTGGTTTTCCATCAGGCTGATATCGGCGAGTACATCAGAAGTGAAGACACTCTCACATAAGAGGATATAATATCTCCTGTGCTCATGGACAGTTCATCACATTCTGGTGATGGGATGTTCCCAACTTTAAATTCAAAGCATTGCATTCTTTTGGACTGTTTTCAGTGTTTAAACAATATTTGTTATATGTGACTTTTCATTGACTATTTCTGTATAAAATAATAATAATTAAAAAAACATTTTTTTGTGATTTTATGAATTATTTTCATCTGATTTTAAAATGATACAGGGCAGCTGGGTAGTACCAAACCAAACAGGATACAAAACTAGATCAAACCAGACCAGCCTTACACAAATTAGTTAAAAATAAATGTTTGTTAAAAAAACACTGACTTGCTTCAGGGTTCACACACCTTTTGACCAATTAATTCAATATTTTTTCCCAGTGTGTTTGTGTTATGTTACTGTAAAAGAAATAACACTAAGAGCAATTTATTGCCAATGAAATATTCATATTAGCTTCAAATTCCACAGCTTGATTTCCATTATTTTATTAACTATATTTCCAAATCAAAGTACAATAATATTTTCAATAATATTGGCCATATATTGTCAGTTTGGGGTCAGTATTTATTTATTTTTTAAGAAATTAACTTTTTTTTTTTCAGCAAGGATGCATTCAATTTAAAATGATCAAAAGTGACGGTAAAAACATTCAACATGTTACAAAATACTTCTATTTCAGATAAAGGCTGTTCTTTTGAACGTAGTATTAATCAAAGAATCCTGAAAAATGGTTTCAACAAATATTAAGCAGCACAACTGTTTTCAGCTTTAATAAATGTTTCTTGAATGCTAAATCAGCATATTACACTGATTTCTGAAGGATCATGTGACACTGAAGTAATGATGCTGGAAATTCTGCTTTACGCCACAGGAATAAATTACATTTTAAAATATATTCACATAGAAAACAGGTCTTTTAAATTGTAATATTTCACAATACTGCTCTATTATTATTATTATACTATATTTTGTTCAAATAAATGAAAATCTTTGGTGAGCATAAGAAAAAAAAAATCAGGTTCACACTTCAGGCTTCAATAGCTTTTAAATCGAATGACTTTATGTAAAAGAACTTTACATCATAAAAGAACATAACTTCATGACACCTGAAAGTATCAGAACGATATTTGTTTACACCATTTATAACAGATATAATTTCATAATCTTTGTGGCCGTGTACACCCTGTTTCCAACATTTCCAAGTTCAGACACTGCTAAAAATGCAAGAAAAATTCAGCAAATGACCCGTTTCCTGCTCAGTGAAGTCTGCAGCACTGTAAAGGTCTAATGTGGGGAAAAGGTGAAAATTGGAGACAAAGTTTCCAGATTTTGTTGATACTATCAGACTGATGATGGGAATAGGCTTGGTTGAACCACCAAGAAATAGCATATGTAATAGTTTATTCCCTAATGCTATTCTTCTGAGGTTAACGAAGGTCATTTAAAGGACAGTTCACCTTCAGTTGCTGGTCCCCATTGACTTCCACAGTACGGAGAAAAAAACAAACACTATGCAAGTCAATGGTGACCAGCAACTGAAGGTGAACTATCCCTTTAAGAGCAAACATCCCTCTTTACAGTCGAGTATCATCTAAAATCACGTAAGCGTGTTTTAAAAACAGAGTTGAGGTCAGGCAAATACTGTTGCAGTAGTAATAATAGTACAGAATGCAAAACTCAAATTATTCTAATGCAAAGAAAACGGTCCCTCTTCTACCCAATTAGCACAAGGTATAAAAAGCATGAGATACATTCTTAGTGATGTGCTGATAAAAAGGCAAGTCTTCTCACAACAAATTCAAAACATGATCTTCAGGATGATCTTCTGCATATAGTACATATTCCCTTTACAGAAAATGAATAACTCATAGACTTGTTTAGAAAGACTCGAAACATTTCTTTAAAGTAAAAACAAACTACACCAAGCCATTCTAGTTCAATCTGAGTTACACTGCATGAACCGTCTGCATTGTTCTGATGGTTTGTATGAAAAGCCAGTCATAATAATGAGAAGGGAATGTGTAAAATAAAATGTCATTGTCATATGAGAGTCATTACATTAACAATGATTAACAAAACTGGCACACAAATCACTGTAACAAATGTAATGCTGGAATTACACTGATATTAATGGCAGAGTAACATAAGTCTTTTACTTGATCTATAATCATTTATCGAAGAATCAAATGTCAGACTGGCTCAGATTTTCAATATCCGTTTATCTCTAGTCTTTTGTGTTCATATGCAGTTGGCTTCATCTTTTACATTGGACTTCTTGAATGGCTGTGATACCAGAACCAAAGCATCAATACATATTCAAATATTGTAAACATAATATCCGAGGGCATTAACACACATCTGTTCTGCTTGGTAAATAGAGTGGTTTTCTAAGCCTCTTAAAATCTATCTAGAGACCTATTGAAACTGGCCTTTTAGTGCTGTGATATAATGAACTGCCAGTACTTTTGTAGATTTTTTAAAATATATTTTGAAAGTTAAAAACAACTATGTTCTAATAATACAGCAAGGCAATCTCACTAAGCCAGTCAGCAACATAACCAGGCCATATTTTCACCCCCCCCCCAAAAAAAGTAATTTATATATTACATAAATAAGTCTATATTTAGGAACATCATGGATTTATGGCATTGTGACATTGTTCTCATTTAAGTATTATTAAAAATATCTGATTGACTGATGATTTTTATATTTGATAACTGACTATTTTTCATAATTAATCAGCAAAAATTACCGGGAGTGAATGAAATGTTATGATGTAAAATCATAACATTTTAAATAATATAATTTATTATTTAGTTATATTTTATACAAAGAACATTTTTATTATATACTATATATAATTTAAAGTAACTTAAAAATATATATATATATAATATATATATATATGGGGGCTAAATTAGGTTTGATTGTCCTTATGCAAAATATAATTTCTTGTTTTTTATCATTTCAATTGGTGGGGGGGTGGGGGTTTCAAATATGACAAGGATGTTCTTGACGGATTTTGTGAGATTCCCTTGAAAATCAAAGCAACACACACAACCCTGTCTAACAAGTTCCAGCTTTATATGATGAAAATATTTTCCAAAAGGAAAACTTAGTGGTCACCATGAAGCGATTCTCCAAGCTAAAGGTAAAAGCAATCTGACGATAAAGTGAAGACGACAATGAAAACACGATGCAACGCGAAACACAGTATAAAACACAAAGTGATAGTCAGCCTCGGTGAATTGTGCAGCATAGCTCACTATGCCTGTCCACGCCAGCTCATTTTACTGCCGTGGGTTAAAATAGTAATCTACACGTTAATTAGAGTTCCTGGCTCAGCCGTGGGCCTCGTGCGCACGGAGGACATACTTTAATTATGTGTGCCATAATGTGATTTGTCTTTATTTATCTCACAGAGCAGCTTAAGGTCAATGTGAGAATTATATATAGTCACACCGTCCATTCAAGCTCTTTGTGGGATCGGCATTCATTTCAAGACTACAGAATGAGGCTATTATTATCTCTACAATACATGAAGATGAGACTATTTTAAAATGACTTTATCATTTAGGTTATGCACTAAAGACAAGGTGACTAAACCAGCCGCAAGCACTTTACACCTAAGAAAGTGAATCTCACAAGGAAATGCCCAGTTCGTATTTCAAACTAAAATCAAAAGAAAAAACTATAAATTATATTTTACATAAAGAAAACAAAGTTCATTTGATCTGCAATTAAGATGTTCTTTTATGAATAATTAAGCAACTTAAATTCTCATTACTGTAGTGTGAAAAAAATGTCACTGTCTTTATTATAATAAAGTAATTAAAAAATAAAATCAGCATAAATTAAATTCAGTACAAATGATGTATAAATACTTAACATTTTAAATAATAGATTACCTATCTATTACAATAATGCAAATAAAACATTTCCTTTCAATGTAAATAAAATAGTAATAGGCGAAGAAAAATAATACAATATCATTTTTTATTTTCTCCTTTTGATTTTGATGTGATATCTGAGCACCTGGACATTTCCTGACAGTTTTTGTGAGATTCACCAAAGAAGCTTTTTTTTATTTATTTTTTTGGCAAAAACACATTCCTTTGCAAATTTCAGTTTGGTTTATGATCTATTTCTTTAAATAACCTTCACATGCTAACCATTATTTTTGACACACGGTAGCTCTAGATGCAGTTTTCTTCAGGCTGGATAACGGATATCAACACCTTTCAAATGTTCTGTACATTTCCGAACGACAAAAATAAATCAAAAGCAAATCTAAATGAATGTTCGTGAAGACAATATGAGCATAACAAATATGATCCGCCTTACGAGGTAATAATGTGTGGACGCAGACAGACTGTATCGAGACGTAGCCTCATTGTTCCAGGAGCGACATCAGTTATTTAACAGGTCTTCACCGTAGTGGCTCCAAACCTGCTTCAGTATTAAAGGAAGGAGTCCTATGTCCTATGTGAGGGGGGTAATAGGCATGAAGGCAGACGGCTGTGCCTTACAGACAGCATTCTTCACTCAGACTGAGAACTCGGCTCCGTTCTTCCGGGCACGAACCATCAGGACCTGAAGACGGAGTCCAGCAAAAGGGTTGAACCAGAGCAGAGAGGGCGGCCCACCGAAAACAGACTTCATCCCCTCCCATCGCACCCGCCGCTCCCACGTGGGCTTCTCGTTCTTCAATCGCTCGATTTCCTATGCGGGTCAAGCAGAAATGTAAAGTTATGGCTAATACAGTCAGCCCATTGTTACAGAACAAAGGTAGCAAATATCTTCTTTTCACTGGTTTATTATACATAATAAAATATGTGACCCTGGACCACAAAACCAGTTTCGAGATTTATACATCTCCTGAAAGCTGACTAAATAAGCTTTCCATTGATGTTATGAAAATATATATGAAATATTGAGAAAATCGCTTTTAAAGTTGTCCAAATTTAGTTCTTAGCGATGCATATTACTAATCAAAAATCAAGTTTTCATATATTTACGGTAGGAAATTTACTAAATATCTTCATGGAACATGATCTTTACTTAATGTCCTAATGAGTTTTGGCATAAAAGAAAAATGGATCATTTTGACCCATACAATGTATTGTTGGCTATTGCTCTTCA